ATATTACCAAAACTTGAACTGATAATATATTATCAAGATATGATTTAAAAATTAATAATTTCAAAATAAAATATTTTCAACATAATTCTATTTATATAAAGTAATACCTCTTTAGCGGTTTGCGAGTTTTGGGTAGGTAGTAAAATATGGCAAAATGTTCCACATTGGCCAACATAAAAACAAATGTCCAAAATTTTATTGATCGTAAAGAAGTTATAAATATTGATTTAGATCATTATAATTACTTACATAGCGCTTCGTTAGGTCTATCATTTGAATTTTGAAATATTATCGAACTTACGGCCCGATCCCATACAGACTTTTTCGTGGTAGCGCCATGCTGCAGATATGATTGTAGAACGAATGGGTCGGCTCGACCGGGGAAGGAGCACGCTCTCACAGAATACCAGTGTAAAATAGCAGCTTAATGCTGCTGTGTTTCGTATGGTGAGTGTAGAGACCGGAGACCCTTTTTACTGGAAACGAAGCATTCCATCTTAGCCCTCGCGGGTGACAACGCATCTGCATTTTGATTCTTAATCGAGGACAGATGTAGATGTATGTCTAGGGGATGGTAATCCACTTACCATCAGGTGGGCTATGTGTTCGTTTGTCACACCCAATCTATAATTAAGAATTAAATATTTAATATATTTACTTAAGAATTAAAATGTATCCATGCGGAACACAGCGGCATTAAGCTGGTATTCTGTGAGAGCGTGGTCCTACCCCGGTCGAGGCGACACATTCGTGCTACAACTATACCAGTCACATAGCTGCAGCGTGGCTCTACCAGTACTCATTGTATATAAACGAACGATAAACTGATAAAAAAATCGTTAAAAATTGTTGACTAATCTAATCACTAGCATTATCTTAATTTCTTAAATTAATATAAGCATTTTTGACGCAAGAATTGGAATGAATTTGACTTGTGACTTATGTAAAAAAAATCTTAAAGAATATAATTTAATTCGTTGATCGATTCAGTCGGTACACGTACCTCGTCTAAACTTAACCTAATATTGACAAGGCAACGCAGTGGCATGCTATCACAAATGGATATGGTGCAGTGCGGAGATACGACTGTGTCGCCTGGTGAACAGCGCACTCTGTGTTCACAAGGGAAGCTTCGGCATTGAGTTCGAGTGCCGAGTGTTTGTATTAAGGATATTGTGCACGTATTAATTTTTTAATTTAAAATATCAACACTTTGTTACGGGTCTAACATTTTGGATCCGATGTAATGTTTATGTGTATACGCTCCATCTTAAAGCGTAAACGTTACATCGGACGATAGAGGTTAGGGCCAGATTGATGGCCCCAGGTGTAATCTCTACATGGTTTAATTCGGTTCTGTCACCTTAGCTCGACGCAACTTTAGTCACAGAGACAATTATTTCACATTCTAAATTGATACACAAATTAATATAAGTTTCGGTGGAGATTTGGGCTTATGGGCTTTATGGACTTGCGACGAGCTAAGTACTCTGGATATTATGTCATGTGTTTCTAAATCTTGTACTATATGTGAGGGAAAACTTGCAAGTGTTTGTGAGTGTAAAGTTAATATGTAGATGATGCTTCGATTCGTGCATGTAGTTATGATTGCTGCGCCCAGGGTAGCCGTGGGTGGTGCACGAGGCGATCGTACTAAACTTGTACTACGTCTCAGACCAACAAAGAAAGATAGAAGTAGCGCTGCATATATTTCAAGTTAGGCCAAAAACAAGTTTAAATCATATCCAATTTATTATAAGAATATTTTGGACACGTACTCATGCACACATATACAACGTGTCCCAAAATTCAACGATAAGCCAACACCGGAGGATAGACCTGCCCCGGACTAATCGGGTAAAAAAAGAAAAAAAATATATCCCAATTATATTTTAAGTTATATAAAAAAAATGAAATTCTTCAGAAATTGAGACCGTTTATGATATTTTTCACTACCATGACCACAATTTTTAAAATATTTTTTTCTTTTTTTTTTATAGGCAACCTGAATAGTACTGCTATCTACCACAATTCTTAAAAACTCCAGAATAACTCTTGTTTTATCACGAAAATTAATGAAACTTATTTTATTCCCTAAATTTTTTGAAGACTTTTACTTTTAACCAAATTTAACTTATCGTGGTGTAAAAAAAAAGTATGAACACTAGTATGGCAAGTTTTTTTAAAAATTGACGCAACTAACCAATATTCCAAAATGGTATAATACTCTAGGAAAACAAGTTATAAAAAAATATGGGCCTATTATTTCTTAACAGGGGCCAAATTCCTTAAATTGTAATTGTCAGTAATCACTTTTACTACATGCCCAAAATGGGTTCCTGTTACAATTTCTAGGAATTCGAATGGGGCATTAATACCTTAGATGTTAGAGAGAGATAGATAGATAGAGATATTTACGTTAAAAAGAGACAACAACAGGGCAGGTAGAGAAGCTGTTATTATTCTCAGCAAGTCGGTTCAGTACGCTCTGCTCCTTTGTTTACTGCGCACCGTACCCAATTCAACTTACGTGGCCCTCGTACATACTATCGACTTTTGGCTTGGCTTTTTGGACTGGAATCGACCTGCAAACTTAACTGACCTGGCATTATTTGGACTGGAAGTGATCTGCAAACTGAACTGACCTGGCATTATCTTGGACTACGATTGTGTGTTTTGTGATTTAGAGTTCTGGCGCATTTTGGACTGTTTGGCGTTTAACATGCCGCAACCGTACACACCACAGGAATACGCTAATATGCATTTAATCTATGGAGAATGCCGATGTAATGCTAACGCTGCTAGCAGACTGTATCCAGAAAGATACCCAAATGCTCAAAGATATCCTGATTATCGAGTGTTTATTAATGTGCATCAAGCGTTTTCGGAGGGTCGTATGCCATCCAATAGGAGCAGCGCTGGAAGACCTAGATTGGATCGTGATGAAGAAGTTCTCAAGGAGATAGAAAATGACTCGACTACTTCGGTACGTGCCATAGAAGAAGCTACAGGAATCCTGAAAAGTTCTGCACATCGAATATTAAAACGTCACAAGCTTCACCCATATCACTACAGGCGTGTGCAGACGTTATTACCGCGGGACTATCCGCTACGGGTCACATTTTGCCGTGTAATGCTGCAAAGGCACAGTGAAGATCCCCACTTCCTAGACAAAATTCTATGGTCGGATGAAACAACGTGCAAGAAAGATGGGTATTTAAATCTTCACAATCTACATAGTTGGAGTAATGAAAATCCACACTTGATGAGACAAGACAAATCCCAATATCAATTCAAGGTTAACCTATGGACCGGCATATTAAATGGAAAAGTAATTGGGCCCTTTGAGTTACAAGGAAACTTAGATGGCAATAGTTATTTAAACTTTTTACAAAATGACTTGCAAGAATTGTTAAACGACGTGCCCTTAAGTGATCTTCAAAACATGTGGTTCCAAAATGATGGTTGCCCAGCACATTATGCCCGTCCTGTGCGAGAATATTTAAATCAAGAGTATCCAGGGCGTTGGATCGGGCGACTTGGTCCTATCTTATGGCCACCCCGTTCACCCGATTTGAACCCCCTGGACTTCTTCTATTGGGGTTGTCTTAAAAACAGGGTCTACTCAAAACCCATTGTGACATTGGACGAGCTTCGTCGAAATATCACTCAGGCTGCCTATTACATTAATAGCAGAAGATATGCAAGACAAATAAAACGATCATTTTTAAGGCGATGTCGTGCATGTATTAATGCTGGTGGCAAACAGTTCGAACATTTGCTATAATGTTAATAACTTAATAAATTACACGTGAAACTGTTTGTACCATTTGTTTTGAAATATTAAACATTTTTCAAGAAATAATACTTTTATTACACCCGACCGTCATTTGGCCCCTGTTAAGAAATAATAGGCCCATATTTTTTTATAACTTGTTTTCCTAGAGTATTATACCATTTTGGAATATTGGTTAGTTGCGTCAATTTTTAAAAAAACTTGCCATACTAGTGTTCATACTTTTTTTTTACACCACGATAAGTTAAATTTGGTTAAAAGTAAAAGTCTTCAAAAAATTTAGGGAATAAAATAAGTTTCATTAATTTTCGTGATAAAACAAGAGTTATTCTGGAGTTTTTAAGAATTGTGGTAGATAGCAGTACTATTCAGGTTGCCTATAAAAAAAAAAGAAAAAAATATTTAAAAAATTGTGGTCATGGTAGTGAAAAATATCATAAACGGTCTTAATTTCTGAAGAATTTCATTTTTTTTATATAACTTAAAATATAATTGGGATATATTTTTTTTTCTTTTTTTACCCGATTAGTCCGGGGCAGGTCTATCCTCCGGTGTTGGCTTATTGTTGAATTTTGGGACACGTTGTATATCTAAAATCATTTGAAACTAACAAACTTATTTAAGGTGCATATGTGTGGATTCAACAGTGGACTTTATGGAGTGTTATAAAAATAAAGAAGAAAAATGTGTACGTGTGTGTCAAGGTGTGCAAGATTTTGGCGTTATGAAATGTATGTAGCGCTTTGTCTGTCATTGTTTGTTGGTGTGAGTAATACGTGAGGTAAACTTGTACGAGATTTCGTATGAAATTGTTTTTGTTCGATTACAAACTATTGTGCAGTGTGTGAGTACCGCGGTCACGGCAGCCGCGGACGATGTACAAGGTCTAAAATATGTCGCAGTATGTGAGATGAAATCGTACCTCTATTTGTAGGAACATGTGATTCCAGTCGTATTTGCGAGTGAGGTATGCGAGTACCGCGGTCAGGGTAGGCAAGAGTGGTACTGGAGATGGCAGTTCTAAATGTTGTAGTATGTGAGGTGAACTCGTTCGTGTTGCGTGAACATCTGGTGCGGTGGCAGTTGCGGGTGTAGTCTAAGTAGGCGCGGTCTGTATGTCAGGCGACAGTTTTAAATGTCATAGCATGAGAGGTGAAATGACATTGGTCGCACGTGTGGTGCAGTGAGAGTAGCGGGAGAGAGGTCAGGGTAGGCGCGGGCGGTGCGCCAGGCGGCAGTTCTCCAGGTAGAGGTCCTTGACGAGCAGGTCCGCGTGCGCCAGGCGCGCCGCCAGCCGCTGCGCCGCGCGCTCGGCGCGGCCCGCGCGCGCGCGCAGCGCCGCCGCGCACCGCACGCCGCCGCACGCCCCCGCGCACCCGCACGCTCCCCCGCACGCACACGCACACGCACACGAACACGTCTGCAACCACAACAACAAACCGTTGCTCCAATAACAAATACAATATTTTTATTCAATATACATTACATGTAATTCTTTACCACTATAACTAGAATACAACTAGCTTACAATGTAATACAATGAGAGCGCACGCACATGCCCACGCACACGACTACAACCACCACGAAAAACCACTGCTCAACATCATCATCATCATTATAGGCTTTCACAAGTCCACTGCTGAACATAGGCCTCCCTTAAGTAATGCCACACAACACGGTCCTAAGCCACCTGCATCTATCGACTTCACATCTTACCAAATCGTCACTAGGAGGACCACCCTAAACTTCGTCTACCGGTACGAAGCTGCCACTCAAAGACCTTTCTTCCCCATCGGTTGTCAATTCTTCGAGATATATGGCTGGCCCATTGCCACTTCAACTTACTAATTCGTTGGGTTACACCGGTTACTTTGTTTCTACTGCAGATATCCTCATTTCTAAGTATATTATACTAACTCACACGCGCACGCGCATGCACACACAACCACCGCGACAAACTGTTGCTCACATTCTTCCATTGTTTTTTTGTAATGGATTCGTACGGTTGTATCACATCGTATCTGTAGTGATAATTTGTTTGAAAACTTCTTCACAATATGTTGGTACGTCAAATTACAAAGTTTAAAAAAAATTTTAACAGCAGCTTGAAATAGCACACAGTCGATGACGATAGATTCTCAAGACACCTTAGCGAGCTCAATAACTTCAGATTCACATCACCATCACCCTCGTTTCGCCGTTTCCGCTAATAGTTCGTATACGCATTTATTTAATACACAAAATTGCACCACTTTACGGCATCAAAATTCATATAAAACAATGGTTTTATATGAATTTTCATGCCTAAAAGTGCTTGTAAGTATAGAACCAACGTATCCATGGTATGCCATCAGAGCCGTCTTAAGGTTAGCTAATCTTGACCTCTTGATCCTCTTGCATTCAGTTTCAACATCATTCTGCCATGTGAGTTCGGAATCAATCAAAATACTGAGAAAGGTCGCTGATGCAGTCATGGCAATGGAATCGTTACCATGGTGTACCGATAGTTGTTGCGGTTTACCATTTTTGTTGTAAAATTGTATATACTTTTTTTTACTTGTATTAATTTTCAAATCATTATATTTCAACCAATTCGTTTTATATTTATTATTTCATCATTATAGTCAGTGTTAAGTTTTTATGTATAGAAATATGGTCAGCATAGAGTGTAACAGGATATTACGCACACTTTGGAAGGTCATTGAAGTAAAGAATGAAAGGCTTAGCTTTTCATTGACGTCCGTCGAGTTGGGGTTGATATTTTCCTCCGGGTCTATAAAAACACTCTAGGGGTAGAACAGACTCATACCAGGTGGAGTCGGGATCAATCAATTCAGTTCTTGGACTTAAGTTGAACCTAACCTATTTTATTTGTAATCTACCCTAATAGGTACTGTTAAAATAAAACAAATTTCAATAAGAGATCATTTATTATGGTATCTTTCTTGTTTTTCATAAAATGGATTTATATTTACATTATAAATGCAAACATGAAAAAATATCGAAATTTTAGAAATCGATATTTTTGTGAATCGATACATCAGCTTACGATTCGAATCGATTTATAAAATCTATTTCGGTAAGAATCGACATCCCTACAGACGATGACAATGACAATACAAAATAGCGTCAGTTTAAAGGTAGAATTGACATAAATATTGCTAAAATAATAAATTATCACTAATTTTTTTTCTCAAAAAGTACGCGTTTCCGAATATCAAAACTTTGTGTGTGCTTATAAAAATGTAACGTTTCTGTAAAAAAATATCAAACCCCAACTCGACGGACGTCAATGGAAATTCGTACCGAATGAAGAGTAATGGTCCCAATATACTGCCCTGTGGGACACCTGAGTTATTCTCCTTAATCCCCGATTTGTACGTCACACTCTGAAATCATCATCCAGCCTCGGTACTTCCAGAAACTGAGTCCTTTCACTGAGATAGCTCCTTATGCAATCATAGGCCGGTCCTCGCACACCATAACGCTCAAGCTTATTAAGAAGAGTCTTATGATTGACATAGTCAAAGGCTTTACTCATATCGAAAAGAATGGTGGATACGCGAACCCTGTTGCCCATATGGATCGATATGTTCTTAATAAGGGAGTAACAGGCCAGTGCTGTTGACCTTTCCTTGCGAAACCCAAACGAATGGTTCGAATCCCGCATGGAACAAGTATTTGTATGGCCTACAAATAATTGTTCCGGGTATGGATGTTTGTCCTCGTGCAATTTATGTTTGTAAACTGCCTCCACAACACAGGAGAAAATCCTAGTGAGGGGGACACGTTATTAAAAAAAAAAGAAATAAGAAGCTATTCAAATAATCACAAAGTGAACTTGAATAATGAGGGGAAACACCGCCCTGTTGGAAATTAAAATTATTCAGTAACACTAGGGGTATATCCTCTAGGAAATTGAATTGAACCTTGTAACATGTCCAAATAATTACCACCCATTAATCGTCTTTCAATGAAGTACGGGTTCACAATTATGTTATCAATAATTTCGGCCCAAACATTTACACCAAATCGCACTTGATGACAATTTTCTTTTATAGCGTGTGGGTTGCATACTGCCCAGTAATGTACGTTGCGACTATTACGAGGGCTGCACTAAAAGTATCAGGAATGGAATATTTCCACTATTCCTGTCATATTAAATTTTTTTGAATTGAAAAGTCCATGGTTTTACAAATCGAATACCATTTATTTATTTAAAAAAAGATTCTCGGTCTTGTCACAAGGTTTTGTCAAACTTGTTTAGTCGTTGAGAAAATGGAATTGACTCGAGAAAATTCAAGAGCGATGATTTATTATGACTTTCGAAGTGGTTTAACACAAAAACAGTGTGTTGACCGGATGATTTCTGCATTTGGTGATGAAGCCCCATCCAAAACCACAATTTATCGATGGTTTGCTGAATTTCAACGTGGACGTGTCAAGCTCAGTGATAATCCCCGTCAAGGTCGTCCAAAAACTGCAGTCACCCAAGAAAACGTTGATGCTGTGCGTAAGCTGATTGAGGAAGATCGACATGTGACATACCGCGAAATTCAGGCAACTTTAGACATTGGCATGAGTCAAATATAAATAATCTTGCATGAACAATTAGGTGTAAAAAAGTTGTTTTCCCGATGGATACCGCATTCGCTCTGTGAAGAGCAAAAAGCGGCTCGCGTTACTTAGTGCGTCAGAACTCTCGAAAGATTCCACGCAGGATCCTCAAATGCTGTATACAACATCGTATTAGGTGACGAATCCTGGATATACGCGTACGAACCCGAAACAAAAAACTAGTCACCAGTTTGGGTGTTCGAAAATGAGTTAAAGCCAACAAAAATTGTTCGTTCACGCAGTGTTGCAAAAAAATGGTGGCCACGTTTGTCTCCAAAACCGGCCATGTTATGACTATTCCTCTTGAGGGACAAAGAACGGTTAAAGCAGAATGGTATGCTAGCATTTGTTTGCTACAGGACGTTTCTGAACTCCGTAAAGAGAACTGCAACCGCCGCATCATCCTCCATCACGACAATGCGAGTTCTCACACCGCACACAGAACAAAAGTTTTTACTGCAAGAAAACATAGAATTATTAGACCATCCGCCGTACAGCCCCGACCTAAGCCCTAATGATTTCTATACTTTCCCTAAAATAAAGAATAAATTGCGTGGACAGAGATTTTCGTCACCTGAAGAAGCTGTGGACGCCTACAAAACAACCATTTTGGAGACCCCAACTTCCGAATGGAATGGTTGCTTCAATGATTGGTTCCATCGTATGGAAAAATGTGACAAATTTCGCGGAGAATACTTCGAAAAGCAGTAAATACATGTTTAAATAGTAATGTTGTGTCACTTCCTTGATTCCCGAAATAATCAGTGCCGCCCTCGTATAAAGCGCTACACGCGTAAATTTGGATTCGTCAGTCTACTTAATGTTATATAGTATTATCAATGTTTGTCAACAACCATTCACAAGAATGTATACGAGGTGGACCATCGTTATTATTCGGTGCTTGCACACATCATCATCATCATTACAGCCTTTCATATGTCCACTGCTGAACATAGGCCTCCCCCAAGGAATGCCACAAAGCACGGTCCTGAGCCACCTGCATTCATCGACTTCCTGCATGTCTTACCAGGTCGTCACTCCATCTCGTGGGGGGTCGCCCTACACTTCGCCTACCGGTACGAGATTGCCACTTAAGAACCTTTCATCCCCATCGGTTGTCGGTTCTTCGAGCTATAAAGCCGGCCCATTGCCACTTCAGCTTACTAATCCGTTGGGCTATGTCGGTCACTCTGGTTATACTGCGGATATCCTCATTTCTAAGTTTATCACGCAGAGAAACTCCGAGCATAGCCCTCTCCATAGCTCGTTGAGCGACCTTGAGCTTCCTCATACGGCCAGCAGTGAAGGACCACAGATCCGTAAGTCATCACTGGCAACACGCACTGGTTGTACAATTTCGTTTTAAGGTTTTGAGGAATGTCTGACGAGAAGGTGTGTCGTAGTTTCCCGAACGCTGCCCAGTCGAGCTTAGTGCTCCCATCAACTACCGGCATAGGTGTGACATGGACATTGAACATGATCTTTGTTTTGTCCATGTTCATCTTAAGACCTATCCGTTGGGAGACACTATTGAGGTCATTGAGCATGGTGCTTAGATCCTCCAGCGAATCTGCCATAAGGACTATATCATCGGCAAATCGAAGGTGAGTGATGTACTCGCCATTGATGTTAATACCGTATCCTTTCCAGTCCAGAAGCTTGAAAACGTCTTCCAATGCAGCGGTGAAGAGTTTCGGGGATATAACGTCACCCTGTCTTACACCTCTCTGCAATTGGATAGGTTTCGTACTCTGGTTCTGTACTCGGATAGCCATCGTAGCCCTACTGTACAAGCACTTCAGC